TGTAATTGTTGCCACTTTGTATGGATTGAAATGGAGGCTTGGAGAGGTTAAATGACTTAACCAATGTCACATGGCTGATGGTGGGAAGGCCTGGGTCTTTCAACTTCTAGTTCAATGCTTAGTCCCTTATCCTACCTACACTGACTCCAAGTCCTCAAGATATATCTGAATTACTTATTTGCAGATCGCTTGCGCATCTTACTTATCAATTGAGTTTCTAATGGTATCATGAGATGAAACTCTCAGCTTCACAAATACTCACATATAACTCTTTAAAATACATTCCTTTTTTTTCCCCTCCAAGATTGTCTACTAAGTGCCTGTTCCTGTCCAGCTCCAGAATCTACTGCCCGCTGTGCTAGCAGACCAAAGGCAAGATTCCTTCCCCTTCTTCCCTACTCCCTCCCTCCAAAAAGCATTTCTGTAGAACAATGTGAGCCAGGTAGGTAGGATGTTAGGCTTTGAAGGGAACATAAAGATGAAGACCACATGCTCACCATTTTCCAGGCACTGGCAAGAGAAAGAAATGAGAAGGCAACCCATAATCAGTGTACTGTCAAGACAGAAAGCTTAAGTGCTCTAGGAATTCAGAGGCTGGATTCACTTCCAGAGGTGCCACCAGAAAAGAGGCAGCCTTTGACACAGGCCTTAAAGGAGGAGCAGAATTTCCACAAGTATATGTGGAACTTTTCCTTGGACTGGCATATATAAACATTTCCTGTTTTCTCAGTGCCTGGCTTGTACAATACACACAGTAGGACCTCAGATAAATTTTCTGGTTGGACACTAGCCATTTGGGGCTAGCTAGGAATCATGGTCTTGGTTCTGATGCTACCACTGAACATAAATTGTATAAGTCCTACCCCTTCTCTGGGTCTCTTGTTTTTCCCCAGCTATGAAATAGGGATGTGGAGGGGAGTGGGTATAACCTTACTCATGGGTTCTGGTTAGGATCACAATAAGCTAATATATGCAAGACTATTTGCAAGCCAAAATGAAAGATTTGACAAATGGAGGAGACTCTCTGTCACTATTCTTATTGGTGTTATAAAAACTAGGGGCGCCTGGGTGGCTCAGTCGGTTAAGCGTCCGACTTCAGCTCAGGTCACCATCTCGCGGTCCGCGAGTTCGAGCCCCGCGTCGGGTTCTGGGCTGATGGCTCAGAGCCTGGAGCCTGCTTCCGATTCTGTGTCTCCCTCTCTCTCTGCCCCTCCCCCGTTCATGCTGTGTCTCTCTCTGTCTCAAAAATAAAACGTTAAAAAAAATTAAAAAAAAAAAACTAAAAAGAACCAATGTCCATGTACTGCTTATTATCCAACAACTTTTTTTTTTTTTTTTTTTTTTTTTTTTTGGACTAACTACACTGGGTCAAGCAGTGGGGATACAAAGAGGAAATAACAGCCAGCCTCCATGCTTGGAACATGAAAGGTCTAGGAGATGCCAGTACAGTTGATGGTATAAGTTTAATGTGCTAGGACAAAGGCTGGGCTGGACTTTGGCAGGAGCTCTGCTCCTTTTTAGTGATAGTAAAGGTAGATGGCAATGCTAAAGATAAGAACTTCAAAATCAGAAATTCAACTGGTGTGCTCCAGAATAAACTAGGATTAAGGGTGAGGGAATTTCTTTTTAAGAGCTCCTACTATGTTCCAGACACTTTCACATCTATTATCCTCATGACAAGTTAGGTATTTTTATGCCCATTTTACAGATGAGGAAGCTGAGACTCAAGGAAGTTGGGTTTATAAAACCAGAAAGTGTAAAGCCTAAATGTAAACCCAAGTCATTCAATTGCAAGCTTGGTGATTTTCCCAGGACTCATTGTGTTCTAAACTATGCAATGTTTTCATAGAACTCATCCCATGCTCATCTTGAATGACCTTATTTCTTGGATTATTTTTCTAAGGAGAAAGACTGATCTGTGATGACAGAGGTTTGACAGTAACCTCTTCTACTGTCATTTCCTCTTACACCTCCTAAGATAAGTTGCTTCCCTCTGATTGCGCTTTCCTGACTTTTTCTTCACCTCCAATCCCAATGAAATTGCCAAGGAGTAAAGAATCCCAGCAAATGAAGAGCCTATAGAGAGAGATACTTGCCTTCTCAGTGGCTGGCCTATAAAATGTGAAACAAAACACACTGAAAGATGAAAGGAACCTGCCATACAATTTTGCTCAAAGAGCCCACCTAGACCACAACCTGTCCATTCCTTAATTTTGCAAAGCCGTGAAGAACCCATGATCTATAGGAGTCTATGTGCTTGTCACACTTGCCTATTTTACAGATAACAAACTGAAACCCACAAGAGTGAAAGACCTGCCCAACGTCACACACTAGTGAGAGGCAGAGTATGGATTGGAACCCAGGTCTCTCGACTCTCAGGCCGATGCTTTTCTACTAAAATAGGTTGTCTCTTTAGCTTCCTGCCCCCTCCCCCCATTTAACATCTCAACGTAAATGAGATCATGGCCCTTTCAAAAGGAAGCTCAATGCTGCTGTCTCTGTAAAGCCCAGAAGCCAGGCCCCCCTTTGGACTCTGCTCTGATCAGCTTATGTCTTCATCTAAAGAACAGGAAGTAGCTTCAGTTTTAGCTCTGATAGCACATTCTGGGGGTGGGAAAAGGGGATTTGGGGAAGAGAGTTCCAGTAGATGATGGTCAAGAGCAATCAGCAGACACATTACCCTTGCTTAAAGGGGAAGATACACGATCATATATGTAAGGAGAAGATAAGGGTTTTATCTTTGAGTCCTAAGCAGAACACGTCCTCAGCAAGAGCCTCCCCATGCCGTGGATGGGGGTAAGGGGAGGATTCTCCCACGATTCTGTTCTAATGGAACGGGTTGTCAGGGTGGGAGTTAGGGTACGAGCACCAGGGTGGGAAAGTCTGCATAAACTTTCTATAACCTCCAGTGCTTCCCCCACCCTCTGCCAGCACCCACAACTTCCCCTGCCAAGGGAGGAAGGAGGAACACATTATTCAGTTTAATAATTTATACAAATTGAAAAGTTTACTGGGTAAAATAAAGGGGACTTAGGAGAGCAACGGAGAAATTAAAATTCCTGAGTCCTCTCTCAAAGGGTGGAGGTGTGGAGATGATACCCCTTGACGACCTTGACTTGGAATATAACAATCTGATTGTATAACAGATGGGTCCCAAATAAGCAAGTAACTCCTCCCTTTGTTGGTCAGCCAAGTTTTGTCTCCTATGGTAAGATCACATCCAATCTGAGCATTTGCAGCCTGGGACATCAAAGAACACAGACCCAGATCCACGGATACTTTGTCTATGTTAGTGGTTCTCAAATCTGGCAGCCCATCAGAGTTGTCTGGGGTGCTCATTACAAATTTAGATTCCCAGGAACCAACACAGAGACTATTGGGTAGATCTGGGCTGGGGCCCAGTCATCTTCATTTTCAACAAGCAGGCCTGGTCTAAGAACCAATGATCTGGTTCAACCCCCATTCATTTAGCTACCAAAATTTTACATGAGATGCTGGTTTTACAGCAAAGAAAGCTGAGATGCCAAAAATAGGTTAGTGCCAGTACTTGGACTGGAACCCAGTCTCCTGGCTCTTGATGTGGTATCTCTGTCAACACCTTCACACATGGCTTTCCTCCCTCAGCTCACCAGTCCATTGAGAACCCCTGAGGATCAGGGTGGCCATTCATCCAATCCACAGAAGATTCAGAGCTGCCCAGGTACTCTGATTGAGTTCCTACCTGGTTCATTGGTGGAAATGGCTGGTAAGGGGTAGGGATAAAGGTGTGTTCTATATCCTGGTGGGTTAATAGGGGAAGGTCCAGCTGATGGCTTCTAAGGCATACTATGCCGTTGCTCTGGTCAGAAAGAACAGTCAGTCCATAGAAGCAACCTGCTGTGTCAGAGGAGCCAGGGGGGCTGGGCTGACGGGGGAGAGTAGTGGCAGATGAAGTCGCTGAGGTAACATGAGGCCAGACCATCTAGGGCCCTTTAGGCCACATATAGATCTTTGGCTTTTGCTCTGAGCCACTGCAGGATTTTGAGCCAGAGAATGGCATAATCTGACATATTTTCCCAGGGGTACTCTGATGCAATAGTGAGAACAGACTCTGCAGGGACGGGGTAGAAGCAAGGAATCCAGTTAGGGGGATTTGTAGTGATCCAGGGGACAGCGGATGGTGGCTCAGATCAAGGTGGCAGAAATGCAGTGGTGAGAAGCGACGGGACCCTGGATGTTTTTTAAAAGTAGAGCTGACAGGTTTTCTGATAGACTAGATATGAGATGTGAGATAAAAGGGTGCTGAGTGTTTCTGCTCGAGCAATGGGCAGGCTGGAGTTAACATCAACAGAAATGGAGAAGTCTCTGGGTGGAGAAGTTTTGTGGGAGGGACATCAGGAGTTCAGTTTTAGATATGCTGAGTCACTGACACTCACGTGGTATTTAAATAAAGTCTCACGCCTGGATGAGGTCATCAAGAGACTGAGTACAGACAGAAAAGAGGGTTGAGTCCCTTGCCTGTGGACCGCCAGCACCAAGAGGTTAGAGAGATGGGGAATCAGAGAAAGAGACTGAAAAGGGGTAACCAGTGGGGTAGCTGGAAAACAGGAAGGTGTGGAATCCTGGAAGCCAAGTGAACAGTATTATCAGGAACAAGGACAGATTGGGTCAAATGCTATTGATGAGTGAAGTAAGATCAAGTTTGAGAAGTGACCATTGGGTTTAGTTATGCGAGGACACGGGTAACCTAGAGAGCAGCATTTGACTCCTGACCTCACAGATCCCCAGGTTGATCACTGACTGTCATTTAGGGATCCCTTATTGTTATCTTCTCTTCTCAATTAGGTGGTAGATTTTGCAACAACAGGGATAAGTCAGCATGGCCCCAAATGGGTCCTTGTTGGGCTGTAGGACCTTCTAGAGCCTGCTGTTGGCCCTGATACAGTTTGCTAATAGGCCCACCTGAATACTCCTTTCACTGGGACACTGACCTAGAGCAATTTTCCTCATGCCTTGCTTACCTTGGATGCAGAATTTCAGTTCCTTGGGGTCAGTGACGACTTTCCTGCTTTCCCGTATCACAGCCCGGTTCTTCTTGGTTTCTCCCCAGAGATTGGTGCCTCCGTACATGCTGGGAATGTTGAGAATGGCAATGCCTTCAAGGAAGATGTTGCTCAGGTCTACCCCAACCCCGTCACACTGAGGGACAGACAGAAAAGGTCACTTGTTAGTGTTCTCAGTGTATCCCAACCCAAGGCTGTGTGTGTGTGTGTGTGTGTGTGTGTGTGTGTGTGTGCACATGCGCATGTATGGTGGGGGCTCTCGTGAAGGGCGTGACAGGCCCTCAGCTACCTGCCTGCCTCTGTCAGATGCTGAATCCTGGGCAAAGCTGACGAGCCCTAATGCTTTGGCCACTGTAGTGGACTGGGGGAGATGCGATCCTGGTCGGCTCTGAGAACTAGAAGGGCCCAGAGGTCCTCCATAGATCTAGGGGCGCTTCAGGGATGATTCACAAGACAACGGCAAACCTGTTCTCATTATCATCTCATTATCATCAATTCTGTCTCTGCATAACCACTGTGAAGATATGGTGGGACGCTGAGCCCAGAATCTTAATGCATAGTAGATTTTCAACAAAGGACAGAGAAGTTCACCTCACCCCCTCCCTTTTTATCCCCCCTGTGAGAAGCACAAGACTTTAAGACTTGGAAGGCTTTCAGATACAGCATGGGGAATACAGTCAATGGTATTGTAATAGCACTGTATGGTGACAGATGGTAGCTATGTTTGTGGTGAACACAGCGTAAGGTACAGAGTTGTTGAATCACTATGTTGTACACCTGAAACTAATGTAACACTGTGTGTCAACCATACTTCAATAACAAAGGAAAAAAGATCTGGAAGCCTTTCAGAATTCGCCTGTCTCCCGTATCTGCATTTTAAGTGCAACTTTGGCATATGTGCTTGCTGACGCAGCAGAGTTTCTCTATCCAATCTCCACCACCCGCATCCCCCGCCAGGGACAAAAGGCCAGAAGGCTTGAATCTGCCTGTCTCACATATCTATAATCAGTCTACTTTTGGCATACTGTTTACCAATGCAGCAAGAAATATATTAGCTCTGATCTTTGTTCCTCAGGATTGGAGGTAGTTTACTTCATTTACAGAAGGAAAAAAAAACTAGACCCAGAGAGGTGAGCTAAGTTATTCAAGGTTGTACAGCTGATGATATAAAAAAGCAGGGCTTCAAAGTTAGGGAATTTGACTGTAAAGCCCAAGGTCTTTGTCTTACTTATTGTGAGGCAGGAAAAATGCAAAGTATGCAATAAAAATCCACTGTCTTTGAGGTTACCTACAAATCTAAACTTCCAGAGATTTCTCAACAGAGGAGGAACAGGAAGGCTTGGCTTGTTGCCATTTACATTTGCTTACCTCCTGATTTCTTCAAAACTCTAATTTATGGCACCCTATCATCTCCGTGGCTTGTCCCCCAACTATGAAATGGAATGCAGTGAGCTTCTTTGGTAATCAGAAACTCACTTCTTGGCTGGGAAATTCTGATTATTTGAAAGGTTGCTTTGTTATGTTGAACCAGATTCTCTTCCTGCTTCTACCTATTGGTCCTATTCTCCCTGCTAAAGCCAGACAGATTGACCCTCCTTTCTCCTCCATGGGGACAGCCCACCAAATACAAGATGACAATCATCACCATCACTGTTCATACGTACTAAGCACTGCCATATGCCAGGTTAAGCTTTCGTATACATCTCACGTATTACCTTAATAATCTTGGCTATCCCGTTTATATGTGTGGAAATGGAGACAAACAAGTGGTTAAGTAACTTGCCCAAAGTCACACAACGTACAAATGTAAGCACATAGATTTGAAGGCAGGCAGTCAGAGGCTAAGTCCTAAGGGCTCCACCATTAAGTTGTGCATCCTCTGGGCTGAACACTGTCAACTCTCTCAGCCCCTCCTGTGGGCCTTGGTTTTCAGACTCTCCCCATCCTGGTTGCCCCATTCTGCACAGACTGTTGTTTGTCACCCTCCTATTCTGTATGTCCTCCAACACTGAAAAATAACACCAACCACAAGATCTGATGGCACAGGAGGCCATGGCAGGATCACTTCCTGGGGCTGGGTTCCTCTAACACTATCATTTCCCAGAAATGAGATAATGTGGGAAGCCCAGGTAAGGGTGCAACACGTGTCCCTCTTTATCATGATCCTTATGGTTAAATATGACCACAGTTGCACTAGCTCTTTTGTTAGCAGCTAGATGACAGCTGAATCACTTCAGCTTGAATGGTGGTTGTCTCAGACACTCGGACCCTCATCCCATTATCTACTTCTCAGCCAGCTCTTCCCTATTGTGAACGTGTATAGGTATTTGTTGGTAAGTTTATTTATTTATTTTGGGAAATAGTGTTGGGGGGGGAGGCAGCGGGAGGAGAGAGGGAGAGAGAGAGAGGGAGAGAGAGAGAGAGAGAGAGAGAGAGAGAGAGAGAGAGAGAGAGAGAATCCAAGCAGTCTCCATGCTGTCAGTGCAGAGCCCGATGCAGGGCTCAATCTCATGAACTGTGAGATCGTGACCTGAGCTGAAATCAAGAGTCAGATGTTAACCAACTGAGGCACCCTGTGCCCCATGTAGGTATTTTTAAAAATAACTTAGACATAAATAACTTAGACATATTGATGTCAATCAATTTCATCTGGTTCTTAGCCTAAGCCCCCTCTGTCCATCTGGTTTATTTTAAATCCTTATTCTATGACCCCTTGCCATAGGCTTCATATCATTTGGGGGTTAAGTCATTAAAACATGTATGTAAAGGGCAAAAGCAGGGACCAAGCCCTCTCTCTGGTCAGTTTAAGACAGCAGACACTGCTTAAACAGCCCACGAGGTGTGGCTGCCCTACTGGGGCTACATCCTCTGGACTGTCAGTCTATTTTTCATTACAATGTAGAATCATGGATATTAAAAATGAGAGTGCCTTAAAAGAACATGTCCCATCTTTCATAAATGAGGGCCAGAGAAGTTTAGGAACTTGCCTGTGGTCACTCAACTTACTAATGGTGGAGCCAGATTAGTATCTAGGTCTCCAGACCTCAATCCTGTATTTACTCCACGAAAGCATAAGATCTGTGCTGAGATCCAATGGCATTTCCTAAATGACCACCCTACAACCTCTACCAGAAAAGGAATAAGAGGACGCATATTAAATCACTAATACCTGTGTGCAAAGGGCAAAGAGTTGGTTAATAATTTATTCCAGAAACTTGCCAGGACTGGCATGTCTCCTTTTCTACTTTTCTGAAAACTGGGACATCTGTCCATTTGCTTCTCATTGGATCAATCCCACTCTGTTTTCTAGATTTGTCAAAGTGGCCCCTGAATGACGTGTATGTAGGTTTGTCCAGCAACTTGGATTCCAGTGTATGTATTTTCCAAGGCTAGTTAGTTCTCTACCTCTCTGTGTTGGGCTGTGGTATCCACCTTTAGCATCTGGCCTTCCATTTTTTGTTAGGGCTACTCTCTCTTGAAAAAGATAAAAACTCTTTTGGAGGCAAAGTCCTAATGAGCTATCTCCTTTCCATGTTCTTTTTTGCTTCAAACATCATCTAACATTCTGCTTGGCCTCCAACTTCAAGTTGAGTTGCTTTTGTGCATTCACACCTGGCTGCATGCCCACACTTTGCTTTTGCACGTATGCGTACAGTCCCCTGAAAGCATCGGCTCAACCCAGTGCTCCCTGTGACTGTCATGGTTATTTTTAAAACTCTTTTCCTTTTTCTTCCCAATAGAATTAATGAATTGTTCAAAATTTATTTTGGAATATCTTCTATTCCTTCCATCCTTTACACACACACACACACACACACGTATATATATATGGATATTAAAAAGTATATATATATACATACATATATATATATATATATATATATAT